TTTAGACAATGTTACGCTGCCGCGCCTAACCATCCCATCATCATTTCCCACGGTCCCGGTGGATTGGCAAGCGATGGAACTTACCGTTCGGAGCACATGGATGATGAAGAAACACATCATGGCTAGCTGCACTGAACCTTCTCCAACTACTTGAACAATATCCTCTTTTCCTTCATCCCCAACCACCCAGCTGTCATGGCTTCGGATGACGCGAAATGAGATCAGCTTGACAGTTGCCGAAAGACGCTGCTGCGTTGCAGTTCCAGAGACGACGCCCGGCTGCTTTCACCACCTGTCCCTATCTTTATTTTTAGGCAGGCCAGGAGACTTCCAACCGCGCATGCGACTCTCCTCCGGGGCATGAGAAAAGTTCAAATTTTGTCGAGATAACCGGCCGTTGTCGGCGGTTCGCAGCCTGTCGCCGTTTTATTCGGATCCCACCGGCAAGGTCAGACTCGTTCTCGGCTCTCTGTACGAAAACCTCACGAATAGGCCTGTATCGGCGGCTTTCTGGGCATGAAAATCGATGGTATGTCATGCCAGCGAGCAGAGCTTGTTACTTACTCGAGTCAACCTCATCCACACACTTGCTGCACCTGTCAACCAGCTCATAATCCAATCGCGAACCGCGCCGGAACGGACGTGCAGCTGGGTGCGGGAGACAGACTTGGCGCCGAAGCAAACCATGCAGGGGCTCACCACAAGCTTCAATCTCAGGATCCAATCGGTTGCGAAAGACGACGATAAACAAAGCTGACTTTAGGCTCAGAATGCCCATGTCAAGTCAACGGTCTCAACCCTCTTCAGACCTTCACATTGACGACTGAAGGTGACCCTTTGAACTGTGACGCTCAGATTCCCGCCGTCAAGCTAGGAGCCCCTGTTCGACAACTTCCGTGCACCCTGCGACTCTCGGCCCGCAAAGTCGTTTGGGATTGGGATGAGACTGGCTTGGAAAGGATTGGAGACTGGTTGGAGAACTGGCTGGAGAGTTGGGAACTTGGACTGAACGTCTCCTAGTGCTCCACACAACTCTGACGAACCAACCGGGAGACCCATAAACCAGAGGGGACTCTGTAATCGGCAATATTCCATTATCCGGGCTGCTGGCCAGCAAATGGATGCGATTTGCTCGTCTGGTTTTCCATCCAACTCCCTGTCCGCGTCCGTTGTCGAACAGGGACCCCCGGATCTGCTGCGCTGCACTGAATCCGGCACGCTCAGATTCTGTGCTTGAAATTTTCTTTTTCTTGTTCGATTTGTTTCTTGCCTACCTGAGGGTCACCGCTTCGATTCTGCACCGTTGCTGCGCATTCGATGCGTCGATGCGGCGCGACTCCCTAGATAAAATACACAACAAGAATGTCACCAGCAACCGGTACGGATACTACGCTATCCACATCAGCTTCGAACACGGTCCTTTACGCACGTACAACATGATGCAAATTGAGGGGCGTACAGGACGGGACGTGATGTGTGCATGCGCCGTTCAAACAGCAAACCATCGATATCCACGTCACAAGAGGGCAGATGTCAGAATATGCCGCGTCAAGTCTCTTACTGTGGTATGCTACGAGGGCATAGATAGTGGCGCCTGGCTGCACTGCAGGGCATCGCTGCGTGCCGCACTATTCATGTGCGGATAAATGTACATACATATGCATGCATATGTTGACGAGCGAACCGCATTGGGCTCGAGTCGCGACGTCGGTACCAAGGAAACGTTGACCGGCCGCATTCGACATGCATGGCGGCAGCGGCTCCCATGTCGTTTAGGTGAATTAGTGCCGCCACCAGCCCAACCACACACCAACCCAGACCTGCCAAAAGGTGAGCAATTGCTTCCTGCATACCACTAGTACAATTCCATGGGAAACTTGGGAAGGAATACATGATCAGTCACTTACGCTTGCCATCTAGCCAACGAGCCGGTGAATCAATCACACTCAAAACTGGAAACTGTCGTCGCCTGCGCCTGTCATTGCACTCGATAGTGAGACCATCGAGTGCCTGCAACTGCCCTACCTGCACTGATCAGCAATGCCGTTCCGGCCCGCGGCTGGTCATATCGTATTGTCTCGTACCATTGGTTTTCCATCCATCCTTCACGACCCGCCTCCAATAAGGAACCACAGACAGCCCGACCTTCGATGTCCGTCGGTACCGGATGACATTGACAGTTCACATATCCACGTCCATCATTCCAACATTCCAAAATTCAAACCCTCTTCTCTCGGCGGCAAACCATGGCTGGTGGCCTTAATTCCCGAACATAGTTGCGAACTCTAATTCCGGCCCGCCTACAACGATATGAAGTGGGCTTGTCAATGTCACCCACTCTCAGACTCCCCAGTCCGAGAGACTCGCTGCGATTCAACGTGTCGTTCTTCCAGAACGAACAGGACGCCTTCCCTGGTCGACGCACATAGGCTAAAGCCCGTGGACGGTGGGCGACTACACTAGCTCAGGCTGGAGGAGCGGTCGATCTCTGTTCCATCAGCCGCATCGTCTGATCTCCGCCCAAAGATTCCAGAGATGCGAGTGGTCCGTCGAACCCTTGTACAGTTCCCTGCACAGCCCGCACTAGGTTTTTCCCACGTTGCATCCTGGCCTACCAGCCCTTGACGACTTTCTTCACCAATCCTCTCATTCACCAACCGCCTCTATGGAGACTCTGCTAGGTCTTTCCTCCTTGCTTTCACCACGTCTTTGAATAAGCTAACACAGACGCGTCTACTTATCAATGATTAGTTTCCTCAGGCAAACTTCTATCCATCGAAACATCGAACCCGCTTTCCCGCAGACGCACATACCAGGCATGGTCATGATTGCCATGGTGGACTTGATTCAGGACGACCACCCGCGGCGTCGTGATCGAGCATGTAGGCCGCTCCTCCTAAGTCCTGCGTTCCGCATCCTACGTCTGGCTCTTGGCAGCCGCTGGTCCAAGCGGGGTGGAAAGGCGTTGAACTCCATCAGGCCAGCTCGCCGTCTGCTATGCCTCCCAGTCAACATCGTCGCTGCTTCTCTTTGATAGGGCGTCGTTGAAACAAGGCTGGCGCGGGAGGGTTCCGAGCACTTCCCCTTAGATGGTAGCACTACCAATGTTCAGACCAGGTCGACCTGGGATGGTCTAACGCTCTAAGGGAACGCGGTCGCCTTGAGGCGATGAAGCTATGGGACGTTAGGTAAGGAAAGGGGCCTGCACTGACCTTACAAGAGCTTCATATGCCGAGACGGGTCATGTTTGCAGCACGTCCCGTCGTCTCCAGGCGTTTCCCGCCTAGCCTTGCCCTAAAACGCCGCCATTGGTTCTCAGGAAGGGAGCCGATTGCCGATACTTGGTCAGATCAGACAGTGCTTGCGGCTTGCAGGTGAGGGGTTGTGGCTTGAAGTGCTTCAAGCGTTGCGATTGGATTGGGAGGCACTCTTCCCAGCATTTGTGCCCGTCTGCAGCTGTGCTAGTGCGTTGCGGCTCGAGGGAAACGCCTTTCTGGGCGCACGCTAGCCAACGAGCACATTTGCAGGTGGCCTTGGTGTTGGGTATGTGAGGGCACGAACGGCCGTAATCCCCATATTCGCCATCCACTTCATGCTTCGTTCTGAGAACAGGCCGCGTCGCCCAATTTTGGATGTGCCAGGCATACCTCATGCAGCAGACCGGCCTCGAACAGCTCAAGCCCGAGCCAGCGAAGCAAGACGCTCAGCTCAGCATGATGCTGTGGCACATTCAGGGCTTTCGAATCACTCGGTTCTTTCTATTTTCAAATTGCGAGACTGTCATCTGATACGCCCCCTTCGTCGACTGACCGGGCGCCGCAGAAAGAGGGGATTTTGACAGTTCGCTCGTCAACGTTGCAGTCTGATAGACCATTCCGTCCAAAGGTTACGCCTTTGAAGTATTGGGGAGAAAGTTATTCTGTCGTGTTCCATACCCGAGACAAGGGTACCAGTCGCTCGTCGGTTGTTGCCGTCCAACCCGGGGCCAGCAAAGCTCCTAAGAAGCAAAGCAGAGTTTTGTGTGGTTTCTCCCCTGCTCCTCCCTTCCCCTACTTGTCTCCTAGAAGGGAGACGAGCAGAATCCCAAATGTTACGCTGGCTTGCCCATTTCGTCCAAGTGGTTGGCTGTGGCAGTGGCTGTCAAGAGAGATGCAAGATCTCGCGATATATGGCATATACACTATCCGATTCGCTCGATGCTTTTACTCCGGGCAACGCGCCGAGACAGCCGGATACCACCGCCGACCAACCGCCGCTTGTTTTCCGAAGATGGTGGTGTGCGTGTATGTGTGTCGTGGTTGCAGCCCTTCTTCTTCCCCGGCTTCTGAGGGCTGGCTAGTAATACGATTTGTCACGCGGAAAGGCCAATATCCTCCGTGTGTCCCGTATCCTTGAGGACGCTATCCCGTACTATGGTTGATACGACCGCTCACCCCCGGGGGCGCGAGGGGCGAGAGCCGATAAATCCGGTGAAGTGTATGTGTGTGTATGTGTGCCGGCCGGCCGTCAGCCAACGGAGGGCAGGGCTTGGGGGTTGCCCTTCGAGACGGTTTGCTTCCGTTTTCACCGTTTGGTAGATTGGAGGGGATTTGAAGAGCAGTGCCTGCTGTTGACAATCTGGGCCTTTCAGTGGTCTTTTGAGATTTGTGAACGGGCAAAAGGATCGTTGTGTGTTTGGGGCTGGGACAACGAGATTTTTCTTCACACTGCCTACTGAAGGCATTTTCTTTCGCTCTCCCAGCACATACGACCATACCCATTGGAAAACTCGGGATCCCGTCCGCTCTCCCATAGATAAGCCAGTGAGGGCCGGACTAGTAGTTGGGTCGGTGACGACCAGCGAATACCTGGTGTTGTATGTTTTTGCCTTTTCGTCATGTTAATTGACTTTGGTTACCATCCTTGCTTTCTTTTCGTTTGTCTTCTTTCAAACGTGCCCGTGGCTGGTTGCTCATCTCCCGTGTACGTCTTTTTGTTGCAAGTCTCAGGTTGCCTCAAGACTAGATGAAGGCGTATTCCTGCATGGGCAGGTCCATTATTTGCCACATTCCCTTCACCTTATCCAACACTCTGTACGAAGTTGGGTCGGCAGATTCCGTGTTTGAGGCTATTCCCAGATCACCAGCGTCGGGTGTAGAGGGTGAGTGCTCAGGTTCCTTCCCCTTGCCGCCTACCATAAAATCATGAGTGTCAGATGTAACAGGCTTCTGTTCAGATTCCTTTCCTTTGCCGCCGATTATGAGTTGCTCTTCATCGACAGCGGCGCTCTGCTTCCCATGGCTCTCTGACTTGGCCTTCTCCACCGGTTCAACCACCAAGCAGATACTCATACTTCTGATATCAGGACGAGGCAGCACTTCCCAGTCTGAGTTGAAGACGGGAGCAACGAGGCATGGTCCATCCACGTCGAAGATCGATATGAGCTGCTGCGTCCGAGCTTGCTCTGCCTCTGCCGTGAAGAGGTCTCGCTTGAGAGCTTCTGCGAACCAAGCCAGACTGGACGGGACGATCCTGGTTTCGTGATCCTCGAGGGCGTCGAATTTCCCTTCGAGGCCAGAACTGTAGAGCGTTGCCAGGAATCGTCGCTGGATTTGCCGTTGGGTAATGTTATCTGGAACTTCGCCATCATTCTGCCGACTTGGGCCTTCCCCTGGATCGCGGCTCGGCCTAGGATCCACTCCCACCAGCGGGACATTGGAAGCGCAATTATACCTGGCGACGAAGAGGACGCCCTCATGCATGATCTGGTCCACGATCCAGGCTTGATAATAGCCGCCGCCTCGATCCTTATCCAGCTGAAGCGTTCGGAAAGGGTCCACAAGAACGTCTTCGTGTGAAAAACCTGCTCACCCACTAAGTCTGGCATCTCTGGCCTACGTGTATAGACGGCATCCGTGCAAATCGATTGCCATATGCTGTTCGCGGAGGTCGTGCAAGTATCGCAAGATGGCGAAGAAGATCTCCGCCACGATCTTCTGCATCTCGGGCTCCGCTTCTACGCGGTAGGCGTCAAGGTATGCTTTGACCTGGACCCCCCTCGCATCTAGGCCTTCCCAAACACTCGAGTCAGCAGCGATGACACCATGGTGAAAGATTTCCGATTTCGCCCGGTCTCTGACGTAGTTCTTTGAGAAATGTTGGGTAATTAAACCCTTTCGCCTAGCGAATTCATCGACGGATTCCTCCTTTTGAGGGTCCATGATGATGCGCAAGCACTTCATCCTATGCCAGATCTCGGCGAATTGGTATTTCAGAGGGCTGAGATCGAGAGTATCGTCGACTGTCCAGAGATATGCACACAGATGGAGTCCTTTCCTCTTACCCCCAAAACTATGTTTGTACACGGCAGGGTTGACGAGCTTGCCGTCTTGTACTGCGTAGCTACTGATCCCTTTGGAGTCCGTGTCAAAAGGTGACAGAAGGCTCCCCACGCGGCGATCCATAGAAGGGTCTGGCTCTCCGTCTTCGTCGCCAGGGAAGTCATAGACCTCAGGCACCAGGAGGGACGTGTCTCCATTCAGCAGCGTGATGGCCAAAATACCGATTCGAAGCGAATCACATTCCTTCGCTACTCTCATAGGGTCTAAGCGAATCTCGTAACTGCACATGTTTGCCAGGATAGTCAAACGATCCTGAACATCGCGACAGTGACGACTCTTCAGCAGCGTCAGAGCCGTGGCGGCGTTCACCTTTTGACGGCCACCGTAGACTTTGCCTCCGTACACGTGGACACCGGCCACATGCTGGCGCACTGTGATCTTTGGATGAAGGGACTCGGCGACGGAGAGGATCGGGATGGCATTCTTGCCGGTGTTGGTTCGAATCAGAGCTTGCCCCATAACCTGAAAACGTTGTTCCAGCAGAGACTTGCAGGTTTCGACGAGGACCCTAAAGAGGTCTACAGGAATGCAGATAATCTTTGACTTGAGAGTTCGCCTCTCCGAGTCCAGTGGATGTCGAGGAGTTGAATACTTCTTCTGATCGGCACGAAGCTTGGACGTGTAGACAACACCGGGACCTCGTCTGAACACAAGAACCAAGCCGTCGCCGGCACTGATCGCTTCTTGAATAACCCACGCTCGTGTGTACCATTTGTCTGCTTGGACCATGTACAAGAAATCCAAAGCATACTGGAACAGCTGTGGACGGAGGCTCAAATAACGCAGTTCTTCAGTTTCGTGGTCTATCAAGAATTGAACCGCGCTCATCTCAGTCTTGCTGATAGTTGATTCGTGTAGGCCAGCTGTAACGATAGCCCTGTTGTAGACTATGTCCAGTGCCTGTACCCCGAGTCGCTGGTACGCCTTGTCTTCCTCTGAACCATCTTCTTTCGGTTGCGGAAGGCATTCCTGGTCGATCCAAATCATGCGAAGCCCGGCGGAATTAGCAAAGTCGACAGCACGGTCGAGAACATCGTCAAGTGCCCGAGCAGCACGTGGCTTACCGTTGAGATCTCGGACCTTTGATTCGATGATAGGAGGAACGTTGTTTCCATACTCGTCTTTGATTTCCTCAGGCCAGCAGTACGATACTGCAACATAATGGACACATACGTCGACGCTGCTTGGCCGTTCCGTGACGAGATGCGGAAACTCGTCCGCTGGTTTGAAAAGGCGGAAGTTCCGCGTCTTTTTGTCGTGGGGAAACGTGGGTAGCTTCGAGCATATTCTGCATTCGAAGACGTCTTCATCTTCGTCTGTGTTGGCAACAGAGGGCCCGGATTCTGCTGAAATTGGTGCGTTGCCAGACTCGCCGTCACTCATCAATGACAGACGGATGGCCTCTTGAAGCTCTGGATCATCCATGTTCTCGTCTTCGGGGGTCTTTTTACATGCTGTAGATGATCCAGCAATCAGGCTCGAAGGATCCGCCGTAATCGGTCCGTCGCTGGATTCATCGTCACTCATCAACGACATGCGAATGGCCTCTTGAAGATCTGGATCGTCCATGTCGTCGTCTTCTGGAGGATGCTCAAATGCCGCAGCTGGCCCGGCTTCCGAGTGCGGTTGCTTCAAAGATGAGATGATTGCTTGCTTGAACATGGGATCTTCGTCGCCATCTCCAAGGGTTTGTGGTGCAACAGATGAATCATGACCGGAACTCGTCGGCATGAACTTGGGAGGCCTCTCGAAGATCGCGGTGTTTTCGCTGGTCTTGCCTGTCTTCGAGTCGCCCTCGTCCGCGTCGGCGGTGTCATCATACACTAGGAACTTGATATCCCGATAAGCCCAAGTCTGTGCCTTGACACGTTGTACCTGAAACTTCCAAAGCCCTTGGACCTTTTCGAGTTCCCCAGGCCTGATAGCCGACGTATTGTGGCCCGTATCGTCTTGCATGTTGTCCGTTCGGTGATGTAGTCGGGGATTACTGTGCCCTCTGAATCTTCTTGTGAATGGTGATAAGTAGACTCGGCTGATCAGCAGAAAGGAGGGGGCCAAGAGTTTATACTCATCTGAGTAGACAAGTACATCACCTTCTGAAGCAGTGGTGTAGGATAGCCTGTCGTCACGACGGAAATTAGATGCTTATTGTAAGCTTGGCTGCAGAAGCTGAGAGTAATCCTTCGTTGAGCGAGGCAAGGCCGCTCAACTGCAGTGTAGCAGTCAGCGTCGCATTGAGGCAGGAAGGCCGTATACAGTATTGGGGGAATGGAAGTGGAGTACCAGGACTTACACCCTTGGGTGATGGCTCTCATGGCATTCCTCCGCAAAGTATACCGGGGTGAATGAAGACTCGAGTGCGTCGAGCTAGATAGCCGTGGCATCGCTCTCGTTTCTACAGTCGCGTTAGTGCCATGCCGATCGCTGCGTCTCAGGGGCATCTTATTTCTCTCAACAGCTACGAAGACCTTGCTGTCCTGGCTGGACCGTGAGCCAAAAAACAATCGGAGGGGCGCAGAGATAATCTGTGACGTTCTGTAGGAGGGGGAACGAGAGGAAAATGGCGAAGTGTGGACCACATGTTCGGAACCACGTTGGAGACTGCCTACAACTTAGTACGTAGCGAAACGTCTTTTTCTGATCCCACTTTCCCTCTCGACAGCACCAGAAGCAGCTCTCCCTGTACCATTGCCTCATCACTTCCTCTGGTCAATGGCGACGACAAAAGAGCATTGTCACTTCCCTGATGATAAAAAGGTCTGATTTCATAGAGGTAAACTCGTAAGCCAGGCGCCGTGCTTTGCTAATGCCTATAATCGACAACTGTGTTCGCTCATCAAGAGCGGCAAATTTCATCTGCCTTGGGTGAAATGAGAACACCACCACAAGATACCCAATTTCTCCCTTGCGAGAACTCTAAAGCAATATGCGCAGGGAAAACACCCCCCTTTTCTGATCAACAAAACATGGCAGGATACATCACCTCCTCACTGAATCGAGCTTCCGCCACCCAATCTAGTACCTGTACACCGGGTCCTTCTTCTTGGAACTCTTCGGGGTTGATTCGTAAAGGTCATCATCCGAGTCCTCATGCAGTGTCTCTTGCCTGTTCCTGAGGTCGACAGTCTGAATCGGGTTACCGCTGAGGGGTCCAGGCGTAGTGGCTTCGTCGGCGCCATGCATCGTGATTTTGCCAAGAGCGCTGTCTTGTCTTCCAAGGTAGCTTGGAGTGGGGTTGAAGCCTGGATGGAATGGCTCATGAGCCAGCCGCGGCTCCTCGCCCGGTAGTTCCACCGCACCACCGGACCCTCCGGGTCTGCTCGATGAAGAGTAGTGGATCTCCGGCTGGGGGTCTCTGAATGGGTCCTCGGCCCCGTATTGCGGTTGCGCTTTCGGGGGCGGTCCCGGGGGTGGGGCGAAGGTTTCTGATGCCTTGCCCTTTCCGCTTCCTTCGGACGGCCTTGTCGGCAGAGGAGGGGTCGAACTAGAAGATGACGACTGGGCCTGGGCTTGCGCCCATTCTTGGGTCCGACTCGCTTGCTGAGACTCAGCCGTCTGGGGGCTCACGGGGCTAGCATTATCTGACCTCGGGTCAATTCCGAGCTGCTTCCGAGCGCCCAGAACGGCTCTCTGATGCTGGTTGAGCGCTGATTGTAGTTGCTCGTTCGTATCAATCAGGTGCTCCATAGTCTCATTGTCGGGAGACGGGTTTTCGGCAGTCATGTACAATTGTATACTTCTCGAAGCACTCTGGCATCTGTCCGCGAACTCCTTGATCAGGTCATTGTTGATGACCTCCTGGGGAGGGGTGTTGACGACAACCTGAGAAAGTAACTTTGCAGATGTTCTCGCCTCCTCTAACCTACTTGCAAGCTCAACGGGGGTAGGCAAGCTTCGATTGGTGTGATTTCTTGCAAAATAATTCTGCGAGTGAGGATTGAATGGCGGCGCATTCATAGTCCGAGGATCGGGGCCAGCCATAGACTGTCTGGGATTCTATGGGGATATGTCAGTTCGGTAAGGACGGAATCGACTGCTTTTTTTAGGAGCCCTTACGCCATATTGCTTGTAGCTTCGTTCCTTTTCCTTCTTCCACATGGAGATCAACTCGCCCAGACCCTGATCGTCAAACTTGGTAGCCTCGAAAGTATCCAATGTCTCGGATAGCATCTGTCTGACACTGGGATCGTGCGTAGTACGGTATAACTCCTTGACGGTATCGGCGAACTTCTTGTCCATATTCCGCGTGAACGTGGGGCCGGGATTGTCGGTAAGGATGCGAATCAGCATGATGGCATTGTACTGCCACGAGGCTTTGGCGTGGTTATCCTTGGCTAGGTATTTCCGGATGATGCGCGCGCATTCGGCGGCCGCGGCCGGAGAAGACTCAGCGGCATCGACAATGGGCGGGAGGTAGAGGACTTCGTCACCCTGTATATTCTATTAGCAGGAAGCTCACCGCGAGCACAAATTGTCGCGACTAAGCATATACCTGAGCATTGGGGCCTCCAGATTCGCAAAATTGTTTCTGAGCACTACGTCAGCTGTGATCATTGGCGTAGGGAAGGCCAGGTCTTGCATACCACGCTACGCGCAGCCGTAGCTTCGGGCGTCTCGTTCTGCGGGTCTACTGGCGATGCCGACACTTGGCTGGATCCACTGAAGTCTTGCGGGGAGAGATATCGATCAGCACTTCCTTCGGGATCACTCTAGATGGAGTTAGGGTGTATGGTGGTTTCTACTCACTATTCGTCGTTCGCTTCTTGAGCGTACTCATCATCCGATTCACACTAAGCCCCTTCATGGCCTTCATCTTTGCGGTCGCGGAACCTGCGGACGGAGGAGCGCTGAGCCGCGAGGGGACGAGAGACTTGCGTCGGAAGCACGGATCTAGGGGTCCTATGACGGACAAAGGGGGAAAGCGCCCGAGTCGAAGCGGAGTGGTCGGATGTCCAGAAGAGACGCTGATATGAACGTCGCAAGATATCGCAAAGCGGCCGTGAACGACTGAAGTGAATGGACGATGGGCGGATTGTCTGTGGAAAAGAGTTAAGGTTCGGTGAATGGAATGACAGCAATGCGGGAAGCTGTGCGCGTATGTTTCGGGGGGCAAGCGGCGGGAGTTTGGAAGAAATAGGTACGGATGCGCAGGGCCTAGTTGAGCTGCAGCCTGGAAGTGACGCTCGGAGGGGAAGGGTAAGACAAGGTCGGACGGGCCAGACGAACTGGGGGTTATTTTAAATTAAACCTCAGCCCGGCGTCCCGCTGGTCCACCGTCCACGGGGTCCTTTTAAGCGTGTGCTGTAATGGTGCGTAGTGCGGTATCTGGTCTGTTGGACCGTTGGAAAAGTTTTGGCGGGGTGATTGGAACGCCCCAAGTATCGAGCGTCTCGGCGTGTGAGAGGAGGGAGACGGCGGCGCCTGGCAAGGGTTCGAGTCGAGTGGGCTTGTCTGCGCCTCTCCGAGTGCGTGGTGCGAGGAGAGTTCCTGACCGCGGTACGGAGTCGAGGTCACGTAGCGGCGGCGGTAGTCTGTGGCCTTGCGAATGCCGGACGTTGCCGGTGGCTTTGATTAACCTTGATACTCTGCTGGTAGCGCTTCTTGGAGATCTATCTCGCGGAGGATGGCGCAAATGAGTGTGGCTGTTCGTCGGTTTGTTTTCGGGCCTGGGCAGATGCTTCGTTTGTTAAGAGGGGGGAAAAGCCAAGGAGCCTTTTTGTTTATTGGCATTTGGTGTTAACGAGGAAGGATAATCATGGACGAAGGGGAGATATCAGTGTTTCTAGCAAGTTGTTAGAGACCCTTGCAATCTTGTCATTGTTGGTTGGAGCGAATCATGTCAGATCAGGATGAAGGTAAGTATGCGAACGACGAGAAGCAACGAAAGGCGGTGGAAAGGGTCCTCGATTTGCGTTGGGCCGATGAAGGTATGCTCGTCGCCCCTTTTGCTGCGGCGAGTTGTTCAGACCAGGTACGAGTGTCGCGGCGTTGATTCTGGAGCAGGCATGACGACGACTTGGATGGCAAAAAGTGATGCGCCAGAGGCCCAGAGCCCCCAGAGAGGACGGCAGTGCCCGGGGAGACCTTGCACCGATCTCCAGTACGTATCTCACAACTCGTTGGTGGTGGGGACCTCGAAAGTTTGGTTTTGGGTCTTTCCTCCTCTGTATCCGCCCAGACGGGAGTAATCCTCCTCATCAGATCCTATCCATCTGTGTCTTTCTCAGGTTATTCGGACCTTACCTTACCCGAGACGAATTTTCAAGACTTTAGCATTCTTAGCATAGCTGCCACATGTGCTTCAAATCTACACAACCCATCACGCTTTACTGGAATGTTTATTCATCCTCCTTCTTTTTGGTTTGGGTTCTACTTTATTTGGAGAGGACCACGTCAAAAATTGGGGGTCGCATTGACTAGAGACATCCCCCCATTTTGACGTATGCAGGCAGGTACGACGGTCCAGTCTACGTTCATGCCATAATTCAGGGTCTTCCTCCCGCACATGATCGGATGGCAAATCTGCTCCTTCAACAATACAGCAACTCGTATTAACATAAACCTCGAGCTAGACAAACAACCTGTCTTGATGTTGTTGTTTTTCATCGCGATTAAAATCCGACCATGATGATCAGCCCTCTTCTTCACTTCGCAGCCGAGCTACACAAACTTTCAACTGCCAAACCCCACGGCCCGGCAAGCCAAGTATTGGTCTGCACAGCCTCACTCATCCACGCAAGCAGCAACATCCTCAACACGTACGTGTATGGCCAAACAGCGCCACGGGACCTGCCACCTACATCGCGTGCGGTGTACATTACACACTTTTCCCTTCGGCCTCCCGTCGTCTGGTGGGGAACTCCCAAGACGCCAGACAAAAGGGGCCACGCAAATCAACCCCTCTTTAGCATTCACTTACAGATACCTGGGGTGAGATATGTACATCATCAGGTTGCCTCCCGCGCCAATGTCGTTACCCTCTTTTGAACTTCACGGCCTCGTGCCGATGGGCTACCTTGGCTTGCCCAAGATGGACAGACGGCTCCCGCGGCTAGCTTTAGGCGATAAGAAGCTATTGTATCCTGCAGCTTGCTGACAACGTTCTTCAATGCTCGCGACAATGTCTGGAATGGTTGCTATTGGGTGCCCGCTCACTGCGCGTACAAAATGGCGCGGTTTTCTACTAATGCTTGCTCTGCCTTGCGCCATCCTACACTTGCTTGATCAGATGCCCTGGGTCGTACCATCTCCATCTACGACGAGTATTCTTCGCCGGAGTCTGACTCGCCGTCGGCCGACACTTCCTCCACGATCAGATTCCCTGACCGCCCAATATTCTGTCCCATCGTTTCCTCCTTGCTGGGTTCGTACACCACCCGGGGCATCACAGATGCAATGCGGAACTGATACTCGTGCTCGTAGCCCTCGGGTTTGACAGCCGCCTTCTCTGACACTTCCTCTGATGCCGTCAACACATCGTAACACTCCACGAAAGCGTATAGCGTTTCCATCGTTGTGTCGTTGCGGAACCGGCGCACGATTCTTCCAGCCCCAGACGACTCGGGCATCTTCAGCGCAATCCGTACCACATCCTTGTTGCTGGCTGGTGGCTCGTCTTCCATAGTCGTCGCCCGCCAGCGCTTCCACTTATCGCCAAGCTCCTCGCGCCTCGCTGCAGCTTCGGCTTCTTCTTCGGCTTTGCGTGCAGCTTCTGCCGCAGCCTTTTCCGCCTCGCGCCGCTGTCGCGCTCTCTCCCTGTCCTTGGCCAACGATCGTTCGTAGGCCGTATCTTGCTCAGTTCGCAGACTGCGTGCCACCTCTTGTGCTGTCCTCTCTGCTCGGACACCTGCTAGATCTGGTGCGTATTTGTTGATGGCGGTCTGAGCTTCCGCAAGGTACGCAGTAGCCGGCATCGGGCCAGCAAGCCGCTTGATGATGCTCATTCTAGTGCTTCCTTCCTTGGGCGTGAGGCAGATGATCGCCGAAAATGGGTACTTTGTGCAGTTGTATTCCTGGGCGACCTGGTACGCTTCAGAGTCCAGGATGTTGCCGCCCCACAAGATAACATTGTTCGCCGGGTCATTGATGAAGCTGACAACATCCGGGTTCAATAAAGTTTCCCTCGTGAAAGATTCGGTATCGTCGTGTTCGGGCGACATGAGAACAACAAGTAAGAACTTGAGGTCCTTCTTGGCCAGGTCTTGTGCCTGGGCAATACCGCCCTCGAACCAGGGCAATTCGGTGCTTCCATATTCTTCCTCGAATTCACGCTTGAAACGTGCGGCCGTGTCTCGGGGCATGAGCATCCGGCGCCCATTGGTACTCCGCAGTCCATTCCCCGGCCCGCTCGTGATGGCCCGTGGCCGGATCTGTCGGGGAAGAAAACTGAGCAGGTAGAAGACGGTCCGAAACACCTTAGATGCGATGCTGTAACCGATGCTGAAGGGTGCCAGGAGCAACCCGATCAGGAATGGTGGACGGTGGACTGTATTCGGTTGAGGAACGATTCGCGGCGCGGGGTCGGGTCGATCTCTCCGAGGAGCCGGTGGACGAGCTGCAGAGGCAAGCAGACTCTCTTGAAGGTTCTCGTGCCGCGCTTCTGTCCGGGGGATGTCCTGTGCCATTGCCTCTGCGACAGGATCAGGGCCTTCGCCGTCGAAGAACTTGGCGATGGCGATCTGTACCCAGATCAGTCAGTATAATTCACAAGCTGGCCAGTGCCGCGTTGCAAAAGTTTACCTGGACGTTCCATTGCGATCGCTGCAACAGCGGTATCGCATCCTTGAGCTCCTGATTTGTGACACTTGTGTATTGCTGGAGGGACTCTTGCTGACTTGCAGACAGCTGTCCCAAATCTACGTCTCCGCTCTCCGCCATGCTGTCGTTGGGTGCTGCACACAAGTCAAGATTGGCGAGTATGTCGAAGCGACGATGGGTATAGTCCAAAGGCAGATTCAGTGGTCCATGGAAATAGGTGAATGCGCAGGTTGACGTTGTGAAAGGAGTCAGGCCTAGGGCGGAAGTGGGCTGGTCACAGCGAAGAGCAACGTGGCTAAGCAAGGCAGCGGAGAAGGACCCTTCCGCGGTAGTTGCAGCAGCCTGCCAAAGTCGTGATAAATTGGCAAAGGTCGGCTATTTGACCGTGAAATAAGAAAAATAATACAGCTGGATGCGTGGGAGAGACAGAGGAGCAAGTTCAAGAATCAAAGGAGCGGCTTTGGGCTTTGATGCAGCTCATTGACGAGAGGCTGGATGCGTTGGTAGCAAATGACCGGGTGTCTGAGATAGTCCGCTAGTCGCAGCTGATTGTCGAGAGTGTCTTGCCCGGTGACGACACTTGTCCGTGGGCGGAGTGCGGATGTTCAAGGGCTTGGCAAGGTACATGAAGTAAGGTACGGTACGGAGTACCTACTGCTGGCGTCTGCGCGACGAATCGCGTTCGTGACGCCATAAAGAGTATGTTTTATCGCTTATCTGGACACATGGCAATTGCATCTGTCCGATGAGGGGAGACGTGTCGGATAGGTACATAGCCCCGCTGCGATGTGAAGGATGAGTGGACACCTACATGATCTTTCCTCAGCTACAAACACTACGGGGAAGTGCTAGAATTCCTAGAAATCATCAGGATATCTAATAGATGATACGGATAGCGTTTTCCATAATGTGCCTTGTATCCTTAATTGACGTGACTTGCTACCTACCTGGGATGAACATGAATGCCAATACGGCTATCATTCCCACATCAAGTATCGATTTTCACGAGGCTGGGTAACAGCAAGCCAGTATTCATGCAATGTATATGAGCTGAGTCGTGTGAGAGTGACATCCACCTCATTATGCACCAAGTGAAGGCCGCTTCGACCTAGATGTTATTATCGCTCGGATATTGTGATAATGACATACTTTCACGGCCAAATCCAGCACGTTTACCCACGAATGTTGATTAATAGTGCGAGAGCATTGACTTTAAGCGGTTTTCATGTCGCGAGGGTGTGTCACTGTCCCCCCTCTCAGTACCTACTGGACACAACCTACGCTGTAAGTTGGTTTGACTTGGTTGGTTCCATTCCCACCACGCCTAACCTCCGCTCGCACCGCCACCTCCCGCTCCTGTGTAGGTTTGGGTATTCCCTGGCCGCGCGGTAGCAAATCTGACCTCTCTGTCTTCCCACCCACATAAACCGCCTACCTCACTGGACTGCTCCGCCGCCCGTCGCGCCGTTGTCGCCGGTCCCTGTTTTTCCCTCTGTCCTTCCTGGTCCCTCCCGCCTTTCCTGCGCTGGGCTGCATATCCGTACGCATCCTTCCAAGAAAAGATACGGTGCGCGCATCGGTGCTTTACTTCTACCTTGCCTTAACTAAGGTACTATCTCGACACGACCTTATTCCGACTTCATTCCGTTGCCTTGCATCATCCGCCAAATTCATCTGCCGTCAACCTCGACCCTCGCCTGGTGCACGGCATCGTGTCCATGATCGAGACACCTACCCCACCAAACGTGTTCGAGCCATGGCAAATGTCTGCAAGGATCAAGTGCGTCTGCCCAAAAATGTCCTCTGCCCCCAGTCCGGCTTCGCGCCAGGCCCCACGCGAGCTCCAGTCCTCCTTCTCTGCCCGCCTTTGTCTTCTCTCCACCCCGCTCAGACAGCCCAAGTCCTGAATTCCCCCCCGTCCACACCCAGCGCGCGCGCGTCCATACCATGAAAACGACCTCGACGACAACTCGATCATGGGCTTTGGATTTGGCTGACTCTGTGCAGACGTCGTAACGTCGACCAAGGGGGCCAAACTTTCTTCCACCGAAACTACTGATCATGGCCACCTCGCGATACCCCCAGTCCGACCTCCGTCGACAAGTTGGGTCGCCGAAACCCAAAATCCGAGGCGAGTCAACGCGCATGATGCCCTTCCGACCACGTTGCCGTCCCAGGATTGCTGACGCCTTGTCAATTGGCTTAGAAAACAAAGAGACCTTATGCCGAAACGTAATGATATACGGACACTGTCGATACGAGAACACCGGTTGCGCCTTCAACCACGACCAGAATCGTTCCAACTCGGTCCAGAATAGTCCCGGAGGACAGAGCAACCAATCTGATTTGTAGGTCACAGTCCAGATCCGCTTCGCTATCGTGACCGACTTCCATGGCCCAAAGAACCGTCCGAAATGCTCGAGAACTGTTGACGTTTGCTATCGGGACCTGATGCTCCTCTACTGGAGGAAAAGGAGGCGCCTCGATTGTAGAGGCCTTGGCATAGGATCAGCAGCGGTGCTAGACTCTGGCGATACATGTGCCTGACGAGCCTCGTTGCGGACTAAAGTTCTCGACATTGAGACCTACTTCGCATAAAAGGACGAGGTGGATCTTGGAATCGCAGTCCTGGATGAAGTCCCGCCGATCGGCTCTGGCATACATCGCGATATGCAGCAAGATGTCCGTGGATCTCGGACTGGTCACCCTATGGTCGATGTGGACTAAAGCTATGGCCGAAGAAATGTGAATGAAATTTGGATAGCGCCATGGAGGATGAGATGTAGACCACTAACTTGTAGAGCGAGCATTGACGATGACGGGAAATAATCAAACCTAACGACAAACAATGATAGTAGAAAGCTAACAGTTGGGTTTTAATAGCGCGAGAAAGGCCCTCAATGTCGACTCGCCTTCATTCACACCCGCCGGTCTGCCCTCGGTGGCATCACCGAGTGCAAATACGATAGCGGGCTCCAAGAAATCGACATTTTCCTCCCAGGCTGCGAGTGCAGCCGTTTTTACTCCCAGAGGAGCAGGCTGTACGTCTTGAGCCATGTTGTATCACGGACTATCTCATCTAACTTCTTCACAGCTGCGACGCCAGCCGCCGCTCCAGATGGAGAAGCCGCGTCGACAGTATTTAACCCTGCTACATTTCGAGAATTTACTCCATCAAACTTTGAGTTGAGTACTGGCGTATGGATGACCATGCCTAACAGCTTATTTGAGACTAACATCGAAAAAGATTACTGCCAATGGCTCAGCTTCCGACACAGGGCTCTCATTTGACCCCTTTGCTATGCCCAATGTTGCCCAGCCATTACCGGCCACACCTTTTAACCCTTATGCCGATGATCCTACCGGACTCGCTGGCTCAGGGGCCTACTTCCAACATCAAAATGCTTACACAGCCCCGCTTCAACCGGTGAGAGGACGCGAACTAGATATTTTTCTATGGCAAAACTGACGTCCGGCAGCTTCAATACCATCTGTACGCACCGGTTGGGCCGTATCGAGATGATTTGATGCCGTTCCAAAGGCAAATTCACGACTTCTTCTTACCTGAGAAGATGCGCGAGGAGATGCAACGCAAGTCCGAGGCCTTGCAGCAGGTCATGCCAAGTAAGCTGCACAATGAACAACAGGTACTATAGATTTCTAATGCTGTTGAAGACTCGACACTACCTCCGTTAGACAACTACTACTCCCTCGTTCCCCTTGATACCAGTCATCGGAAGAGTTCCAGTGTCTTTGGCTACACCACATGGGTGTACAAGGCTACATCCTCGAAGAACGGCAAAACATACTGCCTCAGACGGCTTGAGGGTATGCTCTCTGGCAATGCCTATCCTCGACATTACTAACGCAGAACAGGGTACCGACTAACCAACGAGCAAGCTATTCGCTCTGTCAAGGAGTGGCGAAGGCTCAACAACGGCAATGTGGTGGGAATACATGACGCCTTCACCACGAGAGCATTTGGCGACAGTTCCCTGTTCTTCGTACAAGACTACCATCCCCTCTCCAAGACACTCGCCGAACTTCACTTTTCTCAACCGGCTTCCACCCACGGCACCCGCTTCAGCGCAAAGAACCCCATAACCGAAAGCGTGCTATGGGGCTATATTTCCCAGATAGCCAATGCCTTGAAGGCTATCCACACATTGAATCTGGCTGCCAGATGCCTTGATATGAGCAAGGTCATTGTGACGGACAAGAATCGCATCCGGCTGAGTGCCTGCTCCATTTTGGATGTCGTTCAGTTCGACAACCGTCGGCCCGTTCAGGAGCTGCAACAAGAGGACTTGATTCAATTCGGGAAACTCATTTTATCACTAGCTACTAACACGCCGCCGAACCAGCTCACGAACCTCAAAGGGTCGATGGAACAGATGAGCAGGGTTTACTCGAAAGAAATCACGGATACTGTCTTGTGGCTTCTGACTCCCTCTCAGGTTGGTGCCACGCCCAAGGGTATAGAAGAATTTGTCCGGGGCATCGCAGTCCATATGGTTGCCACGCTAGATGCCAGTTTACAGGAAGCGGACGCCCTGAAGTCGGACCTGTTCCGCGAACTAGAAAACGGCCGCATAGTGCGCCTCATGGCCAAGCTTGGTGCCGTCAACGAACGGCAGGAATTCGACGGCGACAGGAACTGGTCAGAAAACGGCGAGCGATACATGCTCAAATTATTCCGGGACTACGTATTCCACCAAGTCGACGCGAACGGAAATCCCTTAGTAGACATGGGCCACATTATCCGATGCCTCAACAGGCTGGACGCCGGTAGCGACGACCGAATCTGCCTCACGAGTCGAGACGAGCAGACGAGCTTTGTCGTCAGCTATAAGGAGCTGAAGAAACAGCTCGGCAATGCGTTCGGGGAGCTTCTCAAGGCAGGGAAACAGACGTCGAACCGAGGGTTCCAGGGCACCTCTCACTAGAACGGGGAGGGTTGGGATTGCCACGGTTACGACAAGGATCGAGATCACGGTCACGAAAGGATGGGGAACGAGGCTTCGACGTACTTGGATTGCAATGCACGGGGCTGCGTTTCGAATGATGCGAGAAACCACTACGGAGTGTGATGACTGACATAGCGTTGGTTTTGAGACGTTGGACCAAGGATGAACGAACGGTGGGAACGGCGCGTGAGACGACAAGTGGACGCAATGTGTTCACTCGCTTGCTTGCCAGGTTTGAACGTATAAGAGGAGCGTATAGGAGCCTTCGGATTGAGCGGAGAAGGAATAGAAAAATGGGAGTGAGCGGTCTCGCTGACTGTGGGGAGATGCAGTTAGATGGGAGAGTACGAATGCGGGTAAAGAACAGTAACGAAATAAATCTCTTTTTCATTCATGTTTGTCGTGCACGAGGAGGTGAGGCCGGGGGACCGGCAAAGGCCTTCACTCATGCTGCTCTTCCCGCCATGATATTTGTGCCATACCTTCCCACCACCCCCCCCCCCCTTTTCTTTTTCGTTGGTCTTTCTATCTGGTGGATCTCTTTGATATGCCATCGTCATATTCATGTCCTCATGCTGATGTATGCTGCATGCCTACGACACACAAGCTACATTGCCGTCTCGCGTTTACCCAGACGTCCAGCCACAAGTCGCATCCCATCTCGCAGGGCACATTAAATCATGCCTTATCGATGAGTGTCGCTGGATGGGTCCCCACTTCCCTTGCCTTCCTTTTCTGCCTCACACACACAGTTGGGATATCAAGTCGAATTCAGCCCCCTGACTCCCCCCCTCCCCCCCCCTCCTTTCTCGGGTTTATTCACTCCTCCTCGGGCTGCGCAAACGGGTTCGCTATGGGCTCGCTTCCGTCGACGGGGCTGACGAGGACGAGGAGGGTTCCGCGGGCGACGATGAGGCCTAGGGACCTGGTCGTTTCGTTTCCTTCTTCGTCTGTTTGAGTTGTTTGTTTCTTGTCAGCCGCGAAGCCATATTGAAAGCTCCCCCCCCCCCCCCCCCCCCCGGTCCCCTTTCTGGTTTACGCCAAGGATGGGGCAAAGGCAAAGGTAGAGACACACGTACCTCTCATGACTTCCTGGACCTCGTCCAGCACCAGGTTCATCAGCGCATCGTATCCCTTCAACGTTCCAGTGACTGTGGTTTCCTAACGTCAGCAATCGATACACGCATGATTCCCACACACACACACACATAGCCCCTCCCCCCTCCCCCTTCGCAAGAATCATGGGAGGGGGGGTAAGAAGGAAAAAGGAAAAAGGAAAAGGGGGACAAAGTACAACGCACCTTCGCGCCCGCCGTTGAACTTGACAGTAATCTGCTTGTCCATATACTTTGACAAGTCGAGGATATTCTCCTTCTTGGGCCTCTCGCGATCGCCGCCCGAGCCCTGGGCTCCGCCTCGGTCGCCGCCGCCGCCGCCGCCGCCGCGACCTCCTCCCCTTCCGCCGCGGTAGTTTCCTCCTCCTCCGCCTCCGCCTCGGCCGCCGCCTCTGTGTGAGCCTCTATCCGCCATTGCGCCGCTGGGTTGTGTCCTGGTGTGTCGTGGCGTTTGTTTGTCTGTTTGTAGGAGGGGCTTAGGTCCTATGGTCTTGCTTGGAAGGTCCGTTATCGGGGCCTGGTTACCAATTCGAAAATGTCCCTCGATATTTGGTTACGGATTTTCGCTTTGTCGCGGGGTGACGTCGTTGAGAGATCGTGGGTGTGTTTTTTTGGCGGCTGGGATGTTTGGCCGAGAAGGCTAGGGTGAGAGGTTCGGTGGGAAAATGAGCTTGAGCTTGGTCCGGGCTTCTTCCATGGTGGGGCGGGTTCTGGTCTGCGTCCTTTCCCCTTCGCCCCTCCCCGCCGTTCAGAGGCCCGGGCTCCGTGATTGGCGGGGCGCGGGCTTTTCGTTCAATCGAAACCTGGAGGACGGGACGGGAATAGTTGAGGTACGGGTCCCTCACCGAGTTTACCATACCAAGAGGGAACCCCAAGAATTTGCGAATAGTGACTGTATATCGCCAAGGATGGAATTGATGATTTCTTCGTAGCTTCAGGATTTCTACATACAAGTGTACAGATCCGATGTTTCAAAAGGTTCTCACATGGCAAAAATAAGGCAGCCTGGCATGGCAGTCCGCGTGATACCATTGCTTCAATATTGCGCATAGCCACTGTTTTCTCGGTTCATGAAATACTTTATTTTGATTGTTCGCCGATTCGGGGTCTCTTGTCTTTGATCACGCGACGCTTCTTCCTTACCGTTCACCAACACTTTCTCAGCAATGAGCAAGTAGCCGAGGAAGGCTTTTTGTGCGGAAAGCTTGTCTTGCCGTCGCTAGACAACATAGAGGACATCACCAAATGCCAGTCAATTCAGTATCCGTACGGAGTGGTGAAAGAGACATATCGAGTCCCAGATACTCCGTAATGACAAAGAATAGACATCGATCGTTCGACTAAGGCCACATAGCCGTGTTACCGAGAAAATAAAGTTTCGGTAACGGGGAGGAAATACTGCTGCCTATCCGCATATTGGCACCGCAACGAAAAAAAGTTCCAATAACCATCACCATGAGCCAGTGAAGAAACAGAAAATCTAATTTCGGATTTTTGCTTCCTTCTGGGATCGGCGTGAAGACCGATGACTTTGCAGCAACGACGCGCAACGGTCAAGCCAAAACGTCTTGGCGATGATGAAGCCAGAGCGCGTCGTCGTTGAAATACGACTATGGGCTAGCTCGCCCCGTGTAAGTGACGACACACTATGATGTGTAAACCGCGGTACTCTGTATACCAAGGCTCACGGAACCGGTAAGCTAGGCTGTGCAGCTTCTTCTTTCCTTCTTGACTGATTTGACGAAGCCGGGGAAGGAGATGGAATTATCGGACCGGGGTTGGGAGGCTGGGAAACGTACTGTGTAGGTGAGCGATATACTTCATACTGGCTCGCGTGAGTGGTGTTGGTTCCTGTAAGAGAAGTAATCCTGGCGCGTGTTCCGTTGGTGATTTCCAAAATGTCTTGGCACTGCCCTCTGCGCCACCCCCGATGATATTGATGGGCACCAAGAGCACCACCCAAAAAGCGGGAAACAACGCATCATTACGCCGCTACATTAGACCTTTAGGTCAGTGCCATAAAGTGGGCATCGGGGAGTCCAGAGTTGATCTGGCGAATTCCCGAGGTTGTTGAGATTGCGCCTCTACTATCTCATTCGTCCTCCTTGTCCGGACATTTGGCCGGCCTTCTCTTGCAGATTGGAGGGGCCACGTACCGTGGTTACGAAGCCTAGTCAGCACTTCTGACCACTCTATCTCCCTGCAAAGTCCCTGTGATGTAAACACAAGTTAAGCAAAACCAAGGTGAGAAAATCTCGGAGTTAACGGGCTGCGAGGAACGTTTCCATATCAACCCAACCAACTTGAGAGGAGTGTTGTATCCGTATAGCAAAGTGTGTGTGACATTCAAGGTGTGCCCCCCTTTCCCACTCTCCAAGGGCGAAAGGGAAACCAAACCGATCAGCGAAAGCGAGCGAGCGGAGGGGCCGCTGGCCAGTGGCAACTGCTGCTCGATTTCATTCCAAAACATTGACAGGCCCAAAAATAAGGTAGTTGTTTTGCCCATCAGTGTCGGAGCGAGTTACATCCCAGCTGGTCGTCCGTCCCTGGAATTTCTGCACGTGCGTCGCGTGGGAAGGAGGGGGCAACACGGTAAGTGGTTCATGGCACATGGGAGGGATGGAGCTGCTAAGTCGGGAAACGTTTGGCTTGGTTTGGTTTTATAACGGCGTGAAGTGATGTTTGAGGGTGAGGGAGGCGATCAACCATGCCATGTGCGATTAGACATAATTAGAAGCGTTGTGGGCAGATGAGACTGCGGTTGACGATGATCTCACTCGTTGGCCTTTTAGAGTTGGTTTGCGCGGGCCCCCGAGTGCCGGCCGGCGCGAGATGCATATTCGTACCTAGTCCAGGACTCCAGAGGCATGCAAGGTATGTAGGTAGGTACTCGTGTACATACTCGAGCGGGGTGCGAAAGTCATGTTTCTGTGATGCTGAGGATCCGCTTGAGTCGCCCCGAAACAGGACGGGGTTGGCTTGTTGGACAGGCATCCTGGGTGGTGAGGATGAAGGGAGTTTATAGATTGGCGATACTTTGGGTCCCCGACCTCAAGTCTTGGTTAACGTCGGTACCTTTTCCCATGGTGTACAGAGCGGCAATGGCGTAGGTTTCTCGAGTAGGTAATGCGTTCCTCGCGTTCCGCTCCGTCCGAAAGGGATCAAAGCTTCCCAATTGTCGGGTCTCCGTGTTTCCTCTCTATCCCACCCACCGTCGTCCCTTGTCTGGATTTCTGTTCAGCATTAGCACTGTCTTTCTAGAAAGGTTCCATCTAAGGATGGGCCGCCTACCTGTGCCAGGTACTGCATACCGCGTACGGGTAGAGGGGCACGCCCGCGGTGCCATGGCCCCGGGCGCGCAACTTGACCAGCGGGCGCGCGGGTTCCCTCTATCTAGTTCGTCTTGGGTAACGTCGTACCTTGCTAAGGACTAAGAGGGCCTTGCTCCGCCCCTCCACCCCGTCCGCCGTCGAACTATGGCAGGCTTGTTCCCCTAGGCAAGGTAGCGATTCGCTTGCCGTCTGGCTGTCAAGTGCTGTATGATGTGCGTGCGCCGTGGCCGTCACGTCGCGCGGTGTAAGTCGGGACACACCAGGGTAAGACGGCAATTCAGAAAGATGGGATGTTTTAACGAGACGTGCCGGTTCGCCGGGGGCGGGAAGTATTGGATACTAGGCACGAGGTCAGGGTCAGATCACAGATGTGATGCAACGGAGAAGAAAGGGGCGGTGGTGGTTGTCAGTGGTGCGGCGTGCCTCTTCTTGTCTCGTTTCTGTGTCTTGTTTCTTGTCGTCCTCGTTTCTGTTCCTTTTCTGTACGGAGTAGGTAGGTAGGTAGGGTGTCTCTGTCAGGACTCAGTGGTATTCTTAGAGAAGTGAGAGGCACAGTAATGGAACGTAGCTTCCTGTCGGTGTCCCGGCAAGGTAGTTGGGCAGGTGAGGATCTACGGTGCGCTCCTCCCTCCGAGATTCCCACCCGGCAGCCCATATTTCCGACCGAGTCTCATGTTCAGCGCGGGCGGTGTCTCAAGCTTGTTATTCGCATGTCCATCCATCCATCCATCCATCCATCCATCCAGCAATCCATCCATTCCTCCTTGGACAACTCACTTTGTCATTCATCAATCACTCTACAGTAGTCTTGAGTCTCTCACAGTCGCAGACTCACCAGTCTCACACAGATGGTGCCCCCCTTCTTCCCGCCCGCTACTCCTCTCCTCTCGAAACACTCAAAGCCGACTGGCCGGTTGGCTCCTCCATTTCCCCAGTTTCCAGGCTGTGCACTGCACCAGGCTGGAGCCGGCTCTTTGGGGCCCAAAGACCATGGGCCTTGATCGAGAAAAGCAGACAGCTTGTTCCCCGCTCGTATTAATTGTGTTCGGCGTCCAATATCCTGCATCGACCATCTCCCGGCATCGAGAAGTTCTTCTAACTCCATGTCGCGGGCCGACGATAGGCACCTCGGTCTTAAAAGACAGGTCCCCCTTTTTTTTTTTTTTTGCTTAAATTTTGCAAATCAAACCTTGCCGCTTTGCCGACCCCTTGGGCGCATGATTTGCTTCTTAGCTTGGTTATCATTCTCCCCGAACCCGACACGTTCGGCTCCCAGAGCCGGACTGTTCAGCTTCCAAGCCTTCATAGGGCTGCCAGTCTTACATAAGGATACCGACGACAAGCGGGAAACGGCCTGCTTTTTTGTTCAATCTTACCTCATATTAGTCGCTCAATTGCTTTATACGACATCTCTGCGCCGGGTCCCAGCGCCACCCCCGTACACAGTTCGCCGTCATCCGTTTTGAAATTTCCCACTTTGCTCGTATAGGACAAGCTGCGTTTATCGACGGGTCAAGTACCAAGGAACTCAAGAGGCAATTAAAGAACGGCGGGGAGAAGGAAGAAGAAAAAATCGAAAAAGGACTCACCAAGAAAAAACCGCATCGCTGGGGACTCTCCCTATTACGCCGTCTTACATGGGCTGAAATTCTGAGCCGCGGAGACTGCACAAGCACAGGCACACAGGATAGCTTCTGCTGCTGCTTCTTCTTCAACGGACAGAGACGGACAGAGACAGACGGCCTGTCTCTGCACACAGCCCCGGGTCTAGTCCAGTCCAAACCAGCCCGTTGGTGTGGCCCCCACCAGAATTGCTTGGTTGTCGATTTTGTTGCTCTTTTGGGGCTTTTCGCGTGTTTGGGGGGCCGGGGCGGGCTGCGTTTCTGAGAGCTGGCGCCGGCGCGCACCCTAGTCCATATACTCATCATCACCACATTCCGCTGCCTTGGCTTGGCGTTTCTTTCAGGTAACCTCAACTCACTCTATCTCACCTGCCTCAAGGTAACCACAGCCCTTTTTACGGAATACACAGTTCGGATTTTAGTCGGGTATCTCTCGATTGATCTATCGCCTGCCCACCTCA